CTCATCTACTACTTCTCTCTGGACTCGTTCTGGCAGGACAAGGGTAAAAGACAAACGGATGTAGGCACTCATTCCCTCAGCAGGTCGATGGAAAGGTCTTGACAAGCTGAGAACAGTTAGGATAAACAATACTAAGGAGCCCCCAATGGGACATGGCGATGGATACAAATGTGAGATGGAAGGAAAACTATATTACAGTGTTTTTCGTTCGCTGGCATGGCAAAACTTCTCTCGCACAAAAAAAAAAAAAAGTATTGCGTTTGCTTGAGAAAATTAGCGTTTGTTCGCAAAATTATTCAATTAAAGTTAATTCAGGTAAATTGGGCACTTTTTGCCATTGAGATGATTGGGGAAAATGTCCAATTATACTGTATTCACCACTATAGTTTTTCCTCCGACCGTGACACTCCACATTTGAAAGTATTTTGTTTAAATAATCATGTTTCTTAATAGCTGTCATGTTTGTTATGTACATGTGGGTTTATGTTACATCTGTTGGACATTTAATGTAATTTTACAGTAAAATGCTGTTAATTGTAAAAAATGTTAAGAAGTAAAAATAGAACAAATCAAAAAAAGATTGCGTTCGCTTGAGAAAATTAGCGTTTGCTCGCAAAATTATTAAATTAAAGTGAATTCAGGTAAACTGGGCACTTTTTGCCATTGAGATGATTGGGGAAAATGTCCAATTATACTGTATTCACCACTATAGTTTTTCCTCCGACGTTATATTATTTCCATCGCAAAAGTTTCTCGGGTGGAGGCAATAATTTTTTTTTTTTTTTTGCACCATCAACAGGTCCCTCGATACACTGGCCAAGATAGAAGGAAATTGGGCAATATGCAAAGTATTTGGACACTTTGCACACAATATAGTTAGTGTTCAAAACGTATCTGAACACTTTATGATTATCAAATGTTAGTGGAACATGTTATTGTGATAAACTGTGGTTCATCTTCCAGAACACCTGTGTGAACTTGACAACTTATTTCATTCATCCACTAAAAATTATATTTTATTTAAATGTCCCATTTAAATCTAAAAATTTGCACTGTGTGTCCAGACATTTAATGTAATTTTACAGTAAAATGCTGTTAATTGTACAATTTTGTAAGAAGTAAAAATAGAACAAATCAACGTATAATGTACAGTAAAAAAATTTAAACTGATATTCCCGGAATTCCCTGCGTGACACTCCACATTTGAAAGTATTTTGTTTAAATAATCATGTTTC